GTGGGCGGTAGGGACCAGGTTGACTACCACTGTCTTAGAAGGTCAAGATGCACACTTAACTTGATTTGATCCTCAACACAATGGAGGATTTCCATTAGCAAAATGGGAAATTTGCTGGCTGGAAAGGAGAAAGAGGTAGCTAAGGACAATAATTCACTCCTTAGCTTGGACAGCGATGGCTAACCTTTTTATCACTGCGTGCCGAAAGTCCATGTGTGCGCGTGAGAGGGCGCACGCGTGCCTGCGCCCATAATGCAATGCACGCGTGACCCCCCCCATGCTCCCCCACCCCATGCTCAGGCACGTGGGACACCCCCCCGCTTCTCTGCGCATGAGCACACTTCTCCCGCATGTGCCCCACCCCCCACGCATGCGTGGCAGAGACCCGATAATCAGCTGGCTGGTGGGAGGTGTGCGTGCATGCACGGTGGAACTGAGCTGGGGTGATGGCTTGCGTGCCCGCTCTGCGTGCCATAGGTTCTGGCAAGCATGCCATAGGTTCTATAGGAAGCATAGGAACCTATGGTTCACCATCACAGACCTAGGAAGAAGGCACCAATTATTATTATTATTTTTGTCAATCCTGTATCTGCTGGGAAAGAGTTCTTTTAAACTTGGGAAACTTCACCGTGTGACCAAAGAACAATTGCTTAGAGGCTGTGCCACCATTCCTACAAGAAGATGAAAATTATTGTGTTTCTATGTTACAACTGAAGGAAAAGCTATATGTGGTACTATTTTCTAAAGCTAACTAAGTGCTTTCTTCGTATCACATCATGGCGCAGAAGAGCCTGAAATCGCCAACAATTTTTACCCCCTTAACAAGCTAAGATCCAAGATCCTTTAGATGGCCAAAGAGAGCATAGCACTAGCATTTATACCATTTTGTAGTGGTTTATAGCACTCTCTGAGAAGTTTACAAATGTCATCATCTTGCCCCCAACAATTTGGGCCCTCATTTTACTGGCCTCAGAAGGATGGAAGGCTGAGTCAACCTTGAGCCGATCAGGATTGAACTCCTGGCTATGGGCAGAGTTAGCCTGCAATACTGCATTCTAACCACTGGGCCACCATGGCTCCTAATGCAATTGTGGTAGATCAAAGATGTCAAACTCAAGGCCTTCAGGCTGGATCCATGGGGCCGGTCTGGAAATATCAAAGGACTGGCCAGCGGTGCCTCTGCCAGCCAAAATGGGCCACGGTGGTCCCCAAGCCCCCCATTTTTGGCCTGCACGGCCTCCTGCAACAGTCTGCTGCCCAAAAGCGGCAGAGCGCTGCTGGAGACCAGGGAGGCCAAAAACGAGGTGCGCCCTCCTCCGTGCCCCGTTTTGGCAGGTAAAGTGCTGCAGGAGGCCATTCAGGCCTAAAACGGGACAGAGGAGGCTGGTAGGAGAAACCAGGGCAGAGGGGGGTTGGAAGAAGGGCTGTTTTGACCAGCAGGGTGCTGCAGGAAGCGTCCATCCTGTCTCCCCATCACCCCTGCCAGCCAGCTGAGGAAAACTGCAATGCTGGTCCGGCCCTCAAAGAAATCCAGTTTGACACCCCTGTGGTAGATACCCTGTTTCTCCAACAATACGGCCTCCCCCAATAGGAAGTCCCAGCATGTTTTATAGGCATGAAATGAAATTAAGCCCCTCCCCCCAAATTAAGGCCTATATTAAAACATGCGAAATGGTGGGGGGGGGCTTGCCGTTAGGAAGTACTTTTGTTGCACACCTGGATATGGTGCTGCCTGTGTTGACCCCGATACGAAGTGCCCCACCAACGCCGTCGCTGCCCGCCCGCCCAAAGATGCAAGGGTGGGGGGGAATTAAGTCACCTCCGAAAAGACAGCCTAGCCATTTTTTCGGGGCTCAAAAAAAAAATAAGACCCGGCCTTATTATATGAGAAACACGGTACTTGTGGCCAATACAGGAGCTCCAGATGCTTTCAGACTGTGTTTGACCCTCCGAAATGAAACCTTGTGTCTCCTCAGGCGAATATTTTATTGTGGAAGCTGATATCGAAGAGTTCACCCAGCTGAAGGCTGACAAACGTTTTCACAATATCCTGACGATCTTGCGACATTGCCACCGAGTGCGGGAAATCCGAGGATCGCGACTTGTCCGCTATGCGATCTGCTAATTTTCTTTTTCTCCCCTGACAATGCTGCTGCTTTGTTTTCTTTCCTTCCTGCCATTATTATTAGAAAAGATGGGTTTTTGTTGGCATTAGTAAAATGTTCGTTGTGGGACAAAGATTTTTAGCTTTTTGCCGTGATGAAGGCAGCGGAACCAATACCCCAGCTTTTCCTGCCATCTCCTCATTCCCCTTTAATTTTCTACTTGATGAGTTTAATTTGAGTTTAATTTTAATTTGGCAACAGGAGAAGCGTAATAGATGAAGTGTTTGAAATGTGATTTGCTCAACATCTTTGGAATTACTAGAACTATGGAAGAAGTTGTGTGTTGCTAATAAATCAAAGAAGGAATAAATGTGCAAAAGAACTCTGCTGGCTCGTATTTGAGTGTGAATATGAGGTTTTTGGGAATCATGGTGTCTGTTCATGAAAAAAGCATTGGTGAAGATTTATTCCCAAAATAGGTTTTCAGTGTAAAGGATTCCTTTGGAGGGATGTAAGAGCTTGTAAGGTTTTCAAAACTCTCAGGATGCAACTAAAGGGCATTGCATGCCAAAACAACTAGACAGGTTGTTCCCTCATGCCATCACTCTGCTACATATCTAATTTCCACACCACTGTCTTATGTCTATGGATATTTACCCATGTAGTAGGGCTGAATTGCTATTATCCTTTCCATCTTATTCTACTACCTTCTTTTATTGTATCATAATCATCATTACTCTGTTGCTTTGCATGTACACCGAGAGCTTCCACACCAGAGACAAATTCCTTGTGTGTCTAATCACACTTGGCCAAATAAAGCATGTTCTGTTCTATTCTTATTCCTATTCCTTCGATATTCTATTCTATTCCTATTCCGTCCCATTCTGTTTCTATTTCTATTTTAATTATGCTGAAAACCCGGAATTGAATTCTATGCTTATTCCATTCCTTTGGTATTCTATTCCTATTCCATTCTGTTTCTGTTGCTATTTCTATTCTAATTATGCTGAAAACCCAGAACTGAATTCTATTCTATTCTATTCTTATTCCATTCCATTCTTTAGATATTCTATTCCTATTCCATTCTATTTCTGTTTCTATTTCTATTGTAATGCTGAAAACCCGGAATAATTGAAATACATGTTGACTGCTACACGCTGTATGATCAATGGAAATCGTACCCACCACACACACCAGATCCCAATATATGGTAAGAATCAGTTCCTTAAAAATGCCCCAGGTAAGTCTACCTTTTTTCCAGCTATCTGTATTACCAGCACAACATACAAGATTAGCTTATGCCCTTTGTCCTGCCATAAAACCAAGAACAGGGTTGTTTTGGCTCATCATCCGCCCAAATATCCATCGCAGGCAACAGTTTCTACCTGCATGGATTAAGTAAAATCTTCAAGACAAGCTTGACTCCTGGTTGACTTCATGGATTCAATTATATTGGCAGCAGAATGGACATGGTGAAATTACTCCAAGGGAACGGGATACAATGACATCCTGTTTACAGTCTAAGCTTAATCTTCCTTTGTAAAGCAAAGTTGTAAAGAATAAAATGTATAATCCTTATGAATCTCATATGTGACTCTGGTTTGTCTTTTTTTTTTCAAGAAACTATGGACACCGTGACGATAGATTGACTGCAATAACCCTTCCCTCTCCTTCCTGTATGCCACCTGACTACCAAACACTCTGGGCAGCTAACTAGGCACTGGACAGACATGGGATAGCACTTAGTAATAATACTTAAACTTATATACTGCTTTATAGTGCTTTACAGCCCTCTTTATAGTGGTTTACAGGGTCAGCATATTGCCCCCAACAATCTGGGTGTCAACTCAAAACATTTTGTATACACGTTTTATAGTTGACTACAGAAAGTGAGGGGGGTGGTTTCAAAGAGCAGGCGGCAGTGTGGAATCAAAAGTACATTCCATTCATATTTTCTTCAAAGACTGATGAGATGGCTGAAGCTTCTGCCGCAAAAAAATCTAATTGGAGAGCATGATTGATGACTCTTGGCTATGGACGTTTTTTGTTGGATGATACACCCAGAGGGGTGGGGGGGAAAGGAAGATCAAGGGTGATAGTGAATTACGTATCTCAGAGTTGGCTACGCCCAGGTTAGTGCCGGACGTAGAATGTTACCTTCAAATCCTCTAGTTTTGGGAGTGTGGCTCGAGGCTCGTGATTTAATTGGAGTAACTGCTGGAACCCTGACACTGAGTCCTCATTTTACCCACCTCGGAAGGATGGAAGGCTGAGTCAACCTTGAGCCTGGTAGGATTCGATCTGCCAAATTGGAGGCAGCTGGCTCCAATTTGCAGTACTGCGCTCTAGCCAGTGTGCCACCAAGGCTCTGAGGTCTATACAGTATCTGGTACTACACAGCAGTTATGGATAGGTCCTGCAGGATCCAATCTGGGTTGATCACCAGGTACCAGAGGTTTAGTCTTCTGCTTTCAGATTCATGCTGAAGCCCATCCTCAAGAAACTTTTCTTTCATCTGAATGAATGCTTTAGGCTAGTCTATGCATAGTATTTTTGTGGTCACTAATTGTTTGGCTTAGTTGTTGACTGGGGTGTTGATGGCCGGTTATTAAGTCATTGGTTTTGTTTCCTTGTGCTGCCAATTCTTCTGCTCCTAAGTGCCTGATAAGCTGGTCGTAAATCAGCACTCTTGTTGATTGACTCCTGTTTCCCGGGCTTCAATTATTTCCTTGGGTATTTTTGTACCTGCTCAGCCAACAATTTTAGTAGTTGTGGAATTGAATGTATGTCCTTGTTCATTGCAATGCGAGGCTACCAATGAGTTCAAGCCTTCTCGTCTGACCTCGCTTGTGTTTTTGCAACCTGATAGTTAGCTTCTTCCCTTCTGTCTAATATAGTCACAGGGGCAATCAATGCAGGGTCTATTTAAGTCTTGCAGTACTAAGGAGGCATGGAAGATGAGCATGGTTTTAAAAGTGGAGGAGGGAACAGTAACTTGCACTATGCTGATAGCTGAAAATGCAAAAGATCTGAAAGCCGTAGTCTTAAGTCAAAGAGCACCATGAAAAATAGGACTAAAATTAAATATAAAGACGTCCAAATTAATGACTACAAGTAGAGCGTTAGAATTGACAGAATGTCAAAATAGTAAACAATTTCTGCCTTTTAGGGTCAGTAAGTAAAGGAACAAGGATTCAAGAAGTAGGCAGATAACAGATAATCAGAGTTGGAAGGACCTTGTAGGTCATCTAGTCCAACTCCCTGCCCTTTCAACAAGCTCTTTATCTCCTTAAGTGCTGGGGTCTGCTGTGGGCTATTAAGAAAGACTGGGGTCTGCTTTCTGCCTCTAAAAACATGTTCTTCATTTCTCCTTTAGAAAAATATAATATTCTGCCTTTTTCAATATTTCCCCAAATATTTCATTCTTCTGGGGTGGGGAGGTTCGCACACTCCCCTATAAGACAATATATCTGTACCCCATTTCTCTGCAAGAAATCTTTTTGCTTTGGGGAATAAATAATTTTTTCCTCAGCTGTCTGGATTTCATTTTTATTTATTGTAATGTAACCTTGGCTTGAGTTGGAACCCCAAATTCTGACAATCATCATAGAGAAAAGCTACTCACGTAGTCGCTAGGAGCTGAAAATAACTTGATGACACGTAATCAATTGTCAGGTATTCTCGGCAACCTAGATCTTGCTGAACTACAATTTCCAGCATCCCTCAGTATTGTTTCTGCAGTTGGTAGGAATTGTAACAAGAAGAGGATGTAAATTGTAAATCAGTCTATGATCTTCATTGGGTGATAGCAGATTTGCACAGTGTGGTCAGTTTCTTTATTAAAAAAAAAACACTTTTCAAATAGTAGAGTCAGTAGTGGCAGTACTAGAGCCCAAATCTCTCTTGCTCTGCCTTTTTCTTACATGGCAATCATAAGGCGATTGTCTAAATCTCATTTAAATGGAGAGCTTAGCGCTCAGCTTTTGCTATTAATTTCAGTGGAATTTAAACATGCTTAATGGCCTCTGAATTGTGCCCTCTGTCAAGTTATTAAAAGGCCAAGTTCATTTAGTTTTGCTTTTCAAAGACATATTTAAGATTATAGGTTACCGCTAGCTATTTAAATTCCAGCTTATCCTTCTTAGTATATCTCTACTTAAAGTTTGTTCTGCAAACCTTCGGCAGGGCAAAAATATAAAGAGTATTATTTTCTTAGCTTTTTGTTTTTCTGTTTGGGAAAAGACTGCCTTCTTTGATCAGGATTTAGCTGGTTCGGACTGTTCATTTTTCGCTCTAATTCTTACTTAAAAGCTTAAAAAAATGCAGGCAGTTTACTTTAATGGGAGTTATCAATCTCACTGGTTATCTGTTTTTAGCAGTATTTTTATATAAATATATTTATCTAAACAGAAAAAAAGGGGATACTAAGTGACTTAATAGTTCTTCCTCTTTCCCTTGCCCCACTTTTTGCATTGGGGGGGGGAGGTTTAAAGATGAATTAACCCCCCTTCATGAGTGCTATTCTCAATGTGCTACCAAGTTTGCTACAACCAACAAACCTACATGGTTCTATCCTGGCTTAGCACAAATGCAGAACTTTGGGTCTGTCACTCTCTGTCAGCCTAATTCACCTTGCAGAGTTGCTATTGTGGGGAAAATAGGAGAAGGAAGGAGGACTAGAGATGTTCACCACCTTGAGGTACTTATACAGTAATAAAGGTGGGTGTCATGCCCCTAGCGGAATCTGACTCGGAGGAGGAAGCCGAACCAGCTGACAGGGAGTGGGAGTGTGGCTCCGTTGACTGTGGAAGAAACTGGGGAAGGCCACAATCCAGCTGGGCAGAGCACAGGAGAGGTAGAGCAAGGGAGAGGGAATTCAAAAGAAGACCCAGGCCTACCCACTCTTCAACCTAGGGCACGCAGTGAGGAACGGAGAAGAGAGCAACGTGGGTTGCATGGCTAATGGGGGAGGAAAGGGCCCTGATTCCTTTCATTAACTGCAGCTGGGAACAACAGCGCAGCAAGCTGTTGGGAGTAAATGTGTATTTATCGTGTATTGTCGTGGCTTATCTGTGTTCCTGGCATCTTCCCAATTGTGTGAGTTTTGCAGTGCTTTCAAGTCTGAAATGCCTTCTCCTGCCCTGTCAAGCTAATTACTTCAGTGTGGTTTGTTTGGATTTTAAGTTACAGTTTGTATGTAACTTGTTTTGGACTGACTTTTCTACAGTTAAAGGCTATTCCTAGGAGAGTTTTTCTCCAGCCGAAGGTAACCTGGACATTGGGGGCAAAGTTAGATAGATAGATAGAATACTTTATTGGCCAAGTGTGATTGGACACACAAGGAATTTGTCTTGGTGTAAATACTCTCAGTATACATAAGGAAAAGACACATTCATTAAGAATCAAGGATCATAATATACAAC